AATCTCTGCGCAGGAACAATGACATTGTGGGGGCTGGGGGCTGGTTGTGTGTATATGTGCTCACATTTCACACAGAACACACACACACATACACACAAAGTAGTCTAAAAGCAAGGCAATATGGCTAGTGTTTATGGCTGGCTAGGGCAACTAGGGTTGAGTTTAGGATTAGGGTAACAGATGCAGTTCAACAGTAGGGATTCAGATTGCAAAACTGAGGGGCTGCCTGTACCCAGACATCCCTGGGGGCACTAAATGGGAAGCACCTGTGTGACTGTGTCCAGTAGTGAACCTGGGGAGTGGGAGGGGAGTGTGTGTGGGGGAGCAACGGTCTTTGGGGAAAGCTCTATGCGAGGACGAGACTCAGAGGAGTGATCTCTAGGATGTGACCTCACTTCCTAGACAATGATGACCTAACAGTTCAGAATCCTGATACCCAAACAGCCAATTGCTGAGGGTCAGGCCAGCAGGGTCTTGTCTTTGAGACCCTAAAGAGAGCAGAAGGTTCTCTTGCTGTCTTCAGACTACTCAAGGCTCAGGCCTAAAGAAAGACAACAGTGAAGGCCATGGCGGTGTCTGGAGACACAGGGTTCACTCTTGCCTCCAACGCCTCTGGCCATTGCTCCAGAAGGAAACACACTTGACCCAGGACAGCCAGGGCCAGGACCACACAGACCAGGTAACCACTCTGAAATCTCAGCGCTTCCTCAAGTTTCACCTGGGGTGTTGGACAGTGTAATGGTTCAGGAAAACTTGGAATGATAATAACCAATCAGAACATTGCAGTCCTGTGCCTGTTTGAACCATCCACCTTGATCTCCCCTTAGGTTGAGAAGGGGTCTGTCCCAAAGGACATGGAGGAGCGCTGTAGAGAGTCCCACATCGGTGCAGACACGGTGGAAAAGCTGGTGAACCACTGGTGCCTTCCCTTCAGAGTGGGGACCCCTTCTTTGTCCCTGCCTTCCTGCACGTCTACCCAAGGTTTGCCACCACCCAGTTCAAGAGGTGAGGACCACCTCCAAGTCCAGAGGCCTCAGATCCTCTTGGTGGTTCTGGGAAGCACTCTGCCTCTCTCTGAGCCTACTTGATTTCTAGAGGATTGTCAGGACCCAGCTGCATGGAGTCAGAAAATGCTTCCTATAGGCTTGGCCCTAGGGACTGGGGTGTCCAGAGCTAGGACCCTAATGAATGTGGCTGTCCCCTGCACATTGGAAAAACTCTCTTTCCCTGACCCAATTTCTCATATG